GGTCTTAAAGGGTTAAGAATATTTTGGAATGTTGCATAAAAAACCCTGAATGGAAACGGCAAGATGCGTATGAATATTGAAAATCATGCGCAAAACTGAGTAAGATAGACATTTTATGTGAAAAGAAAAAAATACATAAACTATGATGGAATTGCATTCATCCCAACATAATGGCAAAGGTTTTTTCTGTTGGAACTGGGGTACTATGATTAACTGATTTCACTGCACAACATCATACTAAAATTCCTTAGCCAAAGTCAGTCATCAAAGTGGTTCACAAACATCACCTCCAAGAACCGTCTTGGCCGGCTGCATTCCCAAAGAGCAGTTTCCCACTTCCAAAAGTAAGATGAATCACTGGGTACTACATGTTCTAAGTAAGTTATTATATACGATAAAGGCTTTCTCCAAATACAATAACTTCCATTTTTCTTGTGATGTTTGCCACCAGTTTATCAAGAAGTGACGATTTTGGTCTCTTGGACGCGTTAGGTGAAAACAGTGATTTAGTCACAAATATTTTATGTGATTTTCCAGTTTTGGGGATAAATTTAAGTTGCATATTTGGGTGGGAACATGGCTTCTGTTGTTAGCTACTAAATCTCATTCTTTCATGACTTGTTTGCACTTTGCTGTGTAGCTTTTGGCAGAACTGATGTCAAACACAGCATTTTTGAGCTTGTTTTATTGATCTCGCTGCAATGTCTTCTACACAACCATTCTACACTTTTGGACCTTTTCATTTTTTTTGTGATTTGGGGATTGATCTAAAAAAACAAGGGAAGTGTTTTAGAAGCAGCCATTTAAAGATATGTCTGTGTGTGTAAATGCAAGAAAAAAACTACCCACGGGAGGGCTCTAAGTGTTTTAGGAACATCCTTGAACATGGATATGCATTTGATGAAGAAACTGAAGATCCAGAGCATGGACAAATCAACTGATCCCAGAGGAGAACTCTCTGGTTCTAAGATATACTGAGCTGGAATCTTTGAAGGCAGCCTGAAAACTCATCTAACAATTTCAAGATTAATCAGATGTGAATATCGAGTTTACAACTCTATGCTATAGATGAAGACAGATCTTGTATATGGTTAGACATACATACATATACTTCATATGTTCATAGGATGTTTTTTTTTGCATTACTAAACAATAGTAAGTATGTAGTCAGTTCTGTACATTTGTTCTATTCTAAAAGATGCAATAGACTACAGTTAGTTTTTTATTTTACCATATTTATATTTTATTGAAGCCACGGTTGGAGAGGGTTAAATTGAAACGCTCTATTCCATTATAAGATTTATTATACTCCTACATATTATAACATTTATTATAAGCAGCAATGCTTCAAGTGAACGACAAGAAGTGGTAGTAATATCTTTCATGAAGGTCAGATCATAAGTAAGAACACGTTAATTTGTTGACCATTTTCCAGTGGCCGACACTTTGCAATTTTTTGCAAATGCAGTAACATATTTTTACAAAAAGTTGGCTGCACAATTTTCTGTGCCACCTTGTGAGAAACAATAGAATAAAATCATCAAAAGTGCTAAAATGCTAGCTTTAGCATATGGTCAAAATCTGGTCTCAAATTTACCCCCAATTATGTTTATATTATTACTTTAATCGATTGAACTTCCTGTCCAGTATTTTGAATGAGATCTAAACGCCGCTTTTTCAGCCTCCACTCAGACTGTTTGTCACATGTTTGTTAAGTTCAAGTTCATCCTCAGCCCATGGTGGGGAAAACTTATAGAATTTTAGTCGATTCATGATGTCAATGGCAATGACATTTGTGACCTTTGCTTGCTAAAAAGAAATAAAGCCTATATTTCAACAATGCTTTAGAATATCATGACAAAACTTGGTCCATGTCGTAAAACCCACAATCCGACATTGCCTACTGAGTTTCAGCACAGTGCCCCTAGTGGTCAGGTGGCTTGAGAATTGCTCTTTTGGCTCATCATATTAGTTTGTCATAAAACAAACTAATGTGTCACCAGTACCTAATGCTGACCACGGAACTTTAGTTATCAACAGCGCCACCTATTTGTGAAATTACACAAACCTTTAAATATCACAGCTACCCTACAAAATTATTTTTCCTGTTATTTTTGGCCTCAATCCTATAGAATTAATCAATGGCAGCAATTATAAAGTTTTTACTGCTTAAAATTCGGGCCGCTTTGCAGTTATATTAATGTTATTGGAACTGTTTTCATCTCTTTACGCTTAGTTCTGAGAACTGTTGAGTGTCACCTCAAGTAAATCACTGAGAAGAGTTTTCTATTTGTAAGAGCACCTAAAACCTGAATATCAATTAATAAATAACATTGAAACTATGATTAGCTTAAGTAAGTAATATTCTCCTTTACTCTCTAACTCTAACATCTCTTTGTGCATGTTAGTTTAAGGGGATGAATTACAAAAAAAGAAGATTGAAGTAATTTACTCATTAAGCATAAATTAAACCTCTGGTATCCTGGGTCGTACGGATTTGTGATGTACCACTGCAAGTCCCTTATTTACGTTGGCTTAATTATAGGTCGACGATGTCTTTTTTTGGGAGGTAACTGTGGATTCCAAGGCCGCCTCTAGCTTCACAAGGTCTTCTGGACTACTACTGCACCAGTCTTTTTTTTTTAGTTCTGCATGCTTCATCCTAATAAGGAGCTTGTGTCTTTGTCCTGGAGTGTTTGTTTATCAACCCATTGACCTGTTTTTAACAAAGCAGCTTGTTCCCTGCTTCTTGTAATCATAGAGACACTTTAACAAAAGTTTACTTATCATCTTTTATATAAAAGTTCAAAGTATTGGTTGAATCATATCAAACCTGAATATGTTTTTCCAACCAAGTCAATGGATGCAAATACAGGTAGATGATGCTGAAATGTGTCCAGTGGTGTAATTTATGCAGCGTAGAAGATATTCTTTTACACCTGGTTAATGAAATAAGTGTATTATTAAGACACTGTTTCGTAATTATCATATTATAACTGTGATCTTGAAGACATAACCTGAAAAAAAGGATTCTTTGCTTCACTTCATGTAAATTAGCACTTTAGCAGAAAATTCCTGCCGTTTCTTTATACCCCACTCAACGAGGAACAGATCCTTATGCTGAATAAATAAAATATGGCAGAAAGTTCTATCTGAGTTAATTTCACTCCGCTCAATTATACAAAGCCCCGCATATTGGAAAGTTTGAGCTGAAGACGATTCTAATAAATTCGAGCTTTAACACAGGGCATTTAATATCAGCGCTCCTTAATGGGGTCTTGGTGTTGAATTATCTATGGTGCTTCTGTGGTTCTAGAAGGACCATCAAACCCCTGAACTTGAGAGCTCTGTCTTGTAATTGAATAATACATTACATGTGGCAATTATTTTCGTTAGAGATAGAAGGAGAAATCAATAACCAGGGGAGTAGATCAGTGGCTGCTGTGCTCTTGTCTTTCCTCTCCTGTGGCCAATTACATCATCACAGACTAAACACCTGCACAGTGTCCTCCATCCCGCGCAATGTCAGATCAACTTTGCTATAGTGGCTGAAAGTCAACAGGTGAAAAACTTTTTATAACAACTAAAAATAATGGTTTCCATTAGATTTACAGCTGGTAAAAAGCTTTGGTAAAGATATTCTTGTTGAACTTGGGTGCCATGTTTCTTTTGTGGTGGTGTGCTTCAAGAACTAACCTGGTGTGATACATTCTACAAGTGTTTCCAGACACAAGTACTTCTGGCATTTTAGTCATGCCAGAAAAACTATGCCAATTAACAGTGGCCTATAAAAATGTCTTAATAAATGCAGAGGCTGTGGAATGTGGGTGAACACTCGGTGTTACCAACTCTTCAGTTAGAAAAGTCACTAGTGGCTGGCCACTAGTGTCTAATTTCACTAACTGTCTAATTTCACTAACTACCACGTGACGTGCGTGCCATACATTCCCCACCCCCCAGTGGGTTTTAATCGTGTGTCTCACACATGGGCGGCGGCGTGAAGCCAAACCGCGGCGAGCACCCACATGGCCCTGGCTGCAGAATGATTGCCACTCAATACAAGTCTAAGGGAAAAACTTTAAAAATTATTTCCTCAGAAAGTACAGCGTTTACCCAACTGTTTTAATGATTTTTCGAAAGTTATCGATACAGTGAACAAATAGTTCAACAGTTTTTTTTCTTTACTAAAGTTTATTTTGTGTGGTTCACGATAGTGTAATTTCCCCTAAAACAGGCGAGACCGTGTGATTGACAGCAATACAGAACATAGCTGACTTACTGCAGTGTTCACGTTGGGAGAAAGGTCATTTACACTGCCAACGATCAAATTCAGAGAAGTGTTTTCAAATTCTTCTTTGAAATTATGAAATAAATTGTATGGTCCTTTAGTCTGGTTCACCTCAGCTCTGATCTGTCTTCTTTAGGATTAAATCTCCTTTGTTCGACACATTACTTCTCTCTGATATTAACGTGCAGTCTGTGCACTCAGTCCAGACTGGATCCTTATATTATTATTAACCAACCTAATATATGAGCTGGGGTTAACATTACGGAGCGGTCATGAACCGGAAACCCGTAAAGAAGGTAGGACTTGCAAAAAAAGAACTGGTCTTTTCGGTTTAGAAAACAGAAAAGACTAGTTCTTTTTTCGAGTCCTTCTGGTCTTTTCGTTCTTTTGTCATTAATGTTGAGCAGGTTACGCATGAAAGACCACAAGGATGTTGCACATGCGCAACTGAACGAATCCCTCTCCGACACGACTTGTTTCAACGGAGTCACATTAAAGACTCGTTCAAAAAGAACGAATTGTTCATGATACGTCACCACTAGTTATCAATAACAAAAAAGTTTTAATTTTAAATTAACACACTTGAAGTTATAAAACAAACCTGTTTGTACAGCCAGAAAAAAAATTAATTTGTGCAACAAATCAATTTATAATTTTTTTTTTTATTATAAAGTGTTATAAGTTTGCTTAAACTCTTAATGAGTACTATGCAGCATTTCTGTGGCTCAGTTGGTAGAGCATTACTTTAACAACACAAAGGTCATGGGTTTGAATCCCAGGAAAAGCAAGAACTGTTTATTCTTGTGTCTACCAAATGCATAAATGTAAATGTATGCGAACTGCCACTCTTGTTTTCTCTTGAGGATTTCTTGAGGAACACAATAGTATAGTAGATAACATGCACTAAGGCTGGATTGGGACCAAAAATAGACCCTAGCACTTTTGGCCATAGTGGACCACAACTATTTAGACAATTTATGCAGCATTCAACACGTGAGGGGATATGTTCAAGGATCAATAAGGATTAAATTAAATGAAATAACCTTTATTTGTCACATACACTGTTACATGCAGTGAAATATGACCCCTCTGGCCACAGACATAGACAAGGTGAGGATAGGCCAGTGTGGAGAGGTAGCATTTGAGAAAGAAACAGAGAAATAGGTATACATCAGGTAGGGTAGCTCAAAAAGAGCCTTTTCTGCACTGTCCTTGAGAGGGCAGTGTGGAGCAGGTTAAACAAAAGCCATTGCAACCAAGCACAGTGAACAGCCGACATTTTCCTGCTGCCATTTACGGCGCTGTACTCATGGCCCGTAGATTACAGCAGTTGGGAGAAGCTAGCGGAGGTGTTGTGAGAGCGAGGAATGCGGGGAATCTTTTTATCTCGCCTTCTCAGGGGAATATTTTGATTAAAGTTCATTTGGGTCAAAAAATGTAAATTTCTACAGATTTTAAGTCCATCACCGGTCTCCTTTTTCTCCAACATTTGTTGCATTGCTGCCAGCCTCTCCCTGATGATATCCAGTTTGCGGTCACAGACCATTAAATGAGTCCCGGCAGTTTTAAGTCCAGTCAACATTCTATTTAGTGATCGACCGATATTGATTTTTTATTACAGATACCGATACCAATTATTTGCATGTTTATGTGCCCGATAACCGATATTCATAACCGATATTTATTTACCATTATACTTCTGTTTTTGACACAATGATTTTCACAACTTTCATGTTAAATTTAATATTCATATTACAACAATAAAAATATTTTCTGAAAAGCATGAGCAGCAACACTAACATTTCCAATAAGCAAAATAAATATAGAATGTCTGTCTTCAAGCACAGGAGTCATATCAACTTTGCAGAAATGTAACTTCATTTTAAACTACAGTTTTATTAGGTTTATAAAGCTGTTTATAGGCTCAATAGTGAAGAATAATTTGCTGGATAATGTTAATTTACTGAGTAATATTCTGAAATATTGAAATATAACAAACAAAACATCGTTTTTATTGCATTTCTGATATGTTATATCACAATTACGTTTTTGAAAAAAAAAAAAACGTTTTTGTCGTTCTAGATTATGAAATGCGTGCTGACAAAGCGCATTCAATTTCTTAGTTATATTTATTTAGAATATGTTTATTAGCGGAATGATGGTTATATAAATGTTAATATAATTTGGGGTGTTTTAGTGAATCTTGTTAAAAGTTATATGCGGTGGCTGTGCTGAAGCATTTCATGAGCATTAACCCGCTGAGTGAACAGCAAAATGGAAGCGACTTCACGAGACGAATGAGGAGCATATAGACGCTCATTAGTGGCTGTATTTAATTCAGGCAAGTTACCAGTACGTCTTTATTGGAACAGGACATGACGGTTTATTTTAGCATTCGTGACTCCGACTTCACGAGACTAATAATGAGCATGTAGACAACAGAGAGAGAATTAAATTCAGCGCTTTTATTTACAACATGTGCTTATTCATGGCTGTATATTATTTAATCCATGTCTTTATTGTGACAGGATTTGTATAAGAGTTCGTCTTTATTTCTTAGAGCCAAGCTGCATAAGTTACATATCCGTCATTTATGTAACACATCTAATTTGTGCATTAATAGCTGTTATGTTAAATAAAGTTTACTAAATATAGCAAACCAAGTAAGTATACTTTACCTGTGCACGCAGTTGTTGTTCCCCTCAGACGCCGTGCTGCAATGGCGATCATGCGCGTAATTCTCAAAAGGCCCACAAGATGGCGCCGTTTATTGGTGAACCCGATATTACAAAACCGATAACCGATTATGGTAAAATGCTTAAATATCGGGAAAAATAGCGGTAAAACGATATATCGGTCGATCTCTAATTCTATTCCATTCGGTCATCTCAGTGGGGTTTTGAGCACTGGCCGCCTTTAATAATCGCAGAGAGTTCCACATATTCCGATCAGCAGAACCCCAGTTATCACAACTCCAATTATGTAGATGTTTTCGACATCCTCCAGGGACAGAGCAGCCACTTCGCCCAGGAGTCTATCGTGTAGCCAGCAGCGAAAGTTCCTGCAGGACAAGTGGGCTCCCCCGGGATGAATTTCGTATCTCGAGGCACCACTGTACTTTGAATGACCTGATAAACTCATCACAACTTCAGTTAACAGTTAACATATTCTCAAGTAGTCAACCCTCAAATCTTTAACTGTAACGGAATATTCTTTTTTCCCACCTGTGCTTCACAGGAACAAAAGAGTTCACACAGATGAAAGCAAAGCTTGAGTTTAACATGTTTTTCATCTAGTATTTAGAGAGCTGTACAAAGAGCTGCAGAGGAACAGTGGAACAGAGGCTTCATCCATGCTGGAGGACAGAGAAATCTGCCCTGGACTGGAGTGTCCAACAGATGAGAGAAAAGACCTCATGAAATAAAGATCATCTTCTCAATCTCACCATAGCATGCCATAGACGTACAGAGGAGAGAGATGCTGGGGTGAGTTTTACAGAAGGTTAACACATCCACAGGCTACTCCGATGAAGAAATGCACAACTAAAGGAGCTCACATCAAAAGAAACCTGTTTTTCTTCTATTCTGTGTTCTGCTTTTGCATATTTAATGAACAACGCTATATACACAAACCTTCTCTCCGTCAGCAGAAGTCTCTGTGCAACCATTCTGAAAAAGAAGTTACTTTCTGAGAATCTCAATTGTTCAAAAAAAGCGGTCCGGAACTGTTCAAGCAAGTTGACATACCTACCCAGGCCCGGCTTGAAGGGCAGAAGAAGAAAGAGTGGAGTCAGATCTGCTATCTCCACATAAAAGACCACAAATGACCTATAGTTGCAGAGCCTTTAAAGACATAGATGACAATCAAAAGGACAAATGTGGCTCAGGAGCAGCACAGGCCTGCACTTCTATGGAGCCTTTGACCTGCGAGTTCAAAGCCGACAGCAGACCAGACCTATGGACCTCCCTCAGTGAGCTCCAGACAAAGGCTTTGTTCATACTTAAGCAAAAAACACCGGCCACCATTGTTCCTTTGAGTCAAGCAGCACCTGTAGAAAGTGACAGAGCCAGAAGAAGAGGAGCACAAAGCAGCGGTTCATCTGCCGGCATGTGAAATTACATTTCCTAGCATCCTGACAGATGCATTTTTTCCTGTTGGTGGTTCAGCGGGAGTCAGGCGGTTGAGCAGTTCTTGCTCTCAAAGTCTGAGTGATGTGTTGTTTTTGTAAATGATGAGCTATTTTTTCTGCACTCTCTCTCAGCTCTTCGTATACATACAGAATAATGGATGCCCCTGAGGGCTTGCTTGACAGCTGGAGATTAGAACACATAAAAACATTAATTATCTTGGAAATGCAGATATTTGTCCATGGAAAGTTTGTCATTCCAGTTGTTTGGATGCAGAGGAATGAATGTTCATTTGCAGAAATGTCAGTGGAAATCTGTGTCGGTTTATCAAAATACTTGTCAGACTAAAAGCCACTAATAGTTTGTCAAAGTTCAAAGGAATGTTTCACACCCTTGTCTGTTGACAGTTTATTCTTAAAATAAAAAACTTAGTACTTAATTTCAGAATTCTAGAGAATTATCATGAAAAGGTCCGATCTATGTTGTCAATCATATAGTTTTACTGGACACTGAATGAAATCTACATTTATGTATTTTCCATATGCCTGTATATTATGGGTGTAACGGTTCACGGGGATGTATTGAACCATTTCGGTGCGGCCTGTTCGGTTCGGTACACTTGCGTACCGTTTCGGTATATTTTTTTATTAAATAATATAAATTTATTATTAGCGCGATATTAAGCGCAGCGGAACAATGTTCCTTAGCGAGTTTCCGCACGGACGCTATTGAGTGACGCACAGTAGAGCTGCACGGGTAGCTGTGAGAAATGGCAACAGTGAAAGAGAAGCCAGAGCTTGAAGACCCTCCCACCTCACTACGGTCTCGTGTTTGAGAACACTTTGGCTTCTCTGTTAAAATACATAACGGGGATAGACGAGTGGATAAATTTAAAGTTGTATGCCGACATTGTTCCACGGAGATCGGGCAGGCAACACATCTAACATTTTCTACTGCTGGAGATTTTGTCACTGCAACGAGATCTGTGCTCTCTTCAGAAAATGTGGATAGGTTAATCTTTTTAGCCAAAAACTTAAAACTTGAATAGTTAGTTTTGTTGATATACAAGCTGAAGCTGTTGCTAGTGTTAAAAGTTTTCAGGTCCTAACTAGGTGCAGTATTTAATTTTTTATTTTAATAATGTGTATTTCTTTATATAGTGCAATTTATTTAAAATATCACCCAAATGTGTCACTTTTATATATATTATGCAAGAATTCTATTGTGTATTGGCAGCTTTTCAAAATAAAGATTTTGTAAGCTCTTATTGTTTTGTACCGAAAATTAACCGAACCGAGCTCTCCAAGACACTGTACCGAACTGAATACGATTTTAGTGTACCGTTACACCCCTACTGTATATACAAAGCAACCTCTACACACCGATCCGAATTGAGATTTGCACGAATCTTCAGATGACTTCTCAGCAGTAGAGACCCTCAGGCCCGAGCCCGGCCCAGGCCCGACAAGCTTAACATAATTCTCAGCCGAGCCCAATGTTTGTTTGTTTTTTTTATCCTGGTACACATCTTAGTTTTAGTGGCTAAGTTAAATTTTGTTTGTCTTTCTTTATTAATTCAGAAAAATGTTTGGAGCACTTTTTCTTTAATAAATCACAGTTTTTGTTTGCTTTTAAAGATGAAAGAGCGGCTAGCTTGGGT